AACTATTGACATAACAGAGAAATGAATGCTCCCTGGTGTTGGACTATTGTAACGTAATGGTGTTGGGAGCAAGAGGATTATATTCTTACTGTGATATAACATCACTGAACAGGTTGATTAAAACTATCTAGGAAAGGGTGGAAAAGTCTTCTGGATTTTGTTGAACAAGATGAAAAAATGCAAAGGCCTCTTATGGCACAGTGTTATTATCCCTACAGTCAAGTCAGAAGGTCTGGATTCAAAACCCATCATTCCAATAGATGTAGCATTACATGTCTGGTTGATTAAAAATATTTAAGAAAGGGTGCAACTCCCTTCAATTCTATTTTAATTTCTTTTCTTTCCCTGATATTTGTGACTATAGCATTGCTGGTGGTGCGTAGTGTTTGTTCATTGCTCTTTTAATTTGTAACGGGTAATTTGGCGGTGTTAAAAAAAATCCAGAGTAATGTAATAGCATCTCTGAAGAGGAATTAAAAAATAGCAAGGGCACAAATAATTTGTTAACCAAGTGATTTGGAATTGAGTTTATCGAAATAAAAGTTCAAACTGCAGAGATGTTGGCCTGAATCTTCCATTTTTTTAATCTTTAGAATCACTTGTGGTGCCAAATGGACTTAAATTATAAATATTAGACTCGTGTTTAGGTGTTCTTGGAGGTGGAGCATGTGGTGCCCACCAACATTCATGAAGCCTCAACAGAGGTGGGCATGGCGGGAGATACAATGCTTTATCTCCCCTTCCAACTTGAATGTGATTTAGTCTCCTCCTCCTCTTCTGAATGTTTGATGATTCGCACCGCCCTTAAGTTCTTCACATAAATTATTCAGTTGAAAACACAGGTAATTTTCTAATGGGGGTTAATGGGTGAAAAAATACCACAGTTGATTTGGTGATGGATAAAGAAATATTCTGTTGTGTATAAGAGCACTTTTGGATATAAAACAAATAAATAAATACATTATGCTAGACCTGAAGGGCTCTTGTGGTACAATGATAGTGTCCCTACCTCTGAGCCAGGAGGCCCAGCTTCAAGACCCACCTGCTCCAGAGACGCTTCATAATATCGCTGAACAGGTTGATTAGAAAAATATAAACATTAGACCCTTGCTCAAAAAGGTGCAATGATAAGTCCAGCAACAACAAGCCAAATGACTTAATCTCTAATCAGAAAGGTACTGTAAATGATCATTTGGGCCAAAATTAAGAGTCGCTAAGACAAATGTGGAGTAATGAAGGAAATTGAAAACCACCAAACACTCCAATTGGAGATTAAGTCCTGCCTTCACACTGAGGATATCCTCTAACATGTTGTGTGGCACTAAAACAATGCTAAATGTGTAGATTTCAACCTGATCTGGCAACTCAAGACTGGACATCCATGAGACACTTGTGGCCATCAGTAGCAGTTGAATCATACTCCAACACAATCTGCAGCCTCATGACCTAGCCTATCCCCCCACTCTACCACTATCATCAAGCCAGGGAATCAACCCTGGTTCAATGGAGAGAGCAGGTGGGGGGGTCAGGAACAGAACCAGTCATATCTAAAAATGAGGTGAAGCTAGAACTACTTGCATGCCAAACAGCATAAGCAGCAATTTTAAAGATGTAGCTAAGAAATTTTGCAATCAACAGATAAGACCTAAGCTCTGCAGCCCTGCTAGATACAGTCACGAGTGGTGTTGGATAATTAAACTCACAAGAGAAGAAGGCTCCACAAGTATCCCCATCCTCGATGATAGGGAAGCCCAGCATATCAGTGCAAAAGGCTGAAGCATTTAAAACAATTTTCAGCCAGAAGTCCAAGTGGTTGACTCATCTTGACCTTCTCCAGAAGTGCCCAGCATCACAAATGTTAGTCTTCAGCCAATCTGATAAACTTCACATGATATTAAGAAATGAGCAAAGGCACTGGTCAGTGCAAGTACAATGGACCTGTGACAATATTGCAGTAATAGTACAGAATGTGCTGCTAGTCTTGGTTCAACATGAACAAATGTGTTTAGCTCAAGAGGTGAGGTGAGATTGACTACCCTTGGCATCAAGACCACATTTGACCAAGGATGATATCAAAGAGCCTTAGCAAAACTGGAGTCAATGGAAATCAAAGGAAAAACTATCCATTAGTTGGAGTCATACTTGGCACAAAATAAACATGGTTACGGTTTTTGAAAATCAATCATCTCAGCTTCATGACATCACTGGAGAAGTTCCTCAGGATAATGTTCTAAGCTTTTCGCTACCTTATCAATGATCTTTTCTCTGTTGTGAGGTCAGAAGTGGGGATGTTCGCTGATGATTGCACAAGGTTAACCACCATTCATGACTGACACTGAAGCAGTTCATACCCAAATACAGGAACACCTGGACAAACTCAGGCTTGGGCTGACATGTGGCAAAGCAGTATACATGATACAGGAGTGCCAGAAAATGACCATCACCAATGACAGAATCTAACCATCACCAATGGCATTTAATAGCATTACCATCACTGAAGCCCCAAGCAAGAACAACCTGGAGGCGACCACTGAAGAGAAACTGAATGATTTAAAGGCTAATAAGGACGTTGACTAAAGGAGCAGGTCAAAGGCTGGAAATCCGATGTTCTGACTCAAGTCCTTTATGTCATGTACGTGGCACAAGTCAGGAATGTGATGGAATATTCCCTACTTGCCTGGATAAGCACAGCTCCAACAACACTCCAGCTTTGACACTGTCCAGGGCAAAGCAACCCAAATGATTGGCACCACAATGCAAACATTCACTCTTTCCACCAACACATGGTAGCAGCAGTGTGTACTATCTACAAGATGCACTGCAGAAATTCACCAAGGCTCCTTAGATAGCACCATCTAAACCCACAAACATTACCATCTAGAAGGGAAAGGAAAGCAAATATAGATCACCTCCCCTCCGCGCCATATACTATCTTGCCTATGAACCTTTTGGCCATTCCTAAATTGTTGCTGGGGTAAAATCCTGAAACTCCCTCCCTAGCAGCATTGTGGGTATGCCTACACCAAATGGACTGCAGCGGTTCAAAAAGACAGCTCATTTACCATTTTCACAAGGCCAACTAGGGGTGGGCAATAAATGAAGCTCACATTCCCTAAATGTTTTTTTAAAAAATTGATAAAATGCCAAATATCAACCTTGTCAACAAGTTTGGAGATCATAGAAGGAAAGTGACAGCGCCAGTTTGGACACAAAATAAGCTCAGACACAGGAGCCAGTAATGTTCAACAGTGTTTTTTGGACTGGACAAATGCATATTATGGATTTCCCAGGGGACAGTGATAGGTACAGTTTCTTTCTGTGCTATAAGCATTTTATGGTTCCGAGTACAGGATAATTCAGCAAGTGAAAGAGGCTTGAAGATTGATGGATAGACAAACAGGAGGAAATCAAGTCACAAAAACAAGATGGACAGGGGTGAAAGGATGTGAAGGTGATGGCAAAAAGGCACAATATTGAGATGAAAGCACAGGCGTAAGACAAGGCATAAAATGGAATGTGTAAGAAAGGTGTTGATGGAATTGCAAGACTTCTTAAAGGGACAGCAAGGAGACCAAGCATTTTTTTAGGAACTTACATTACAAGATGTAGCATCTGTTGAGAAGGCAAAAGTAATGAACACAGAAATACCAAACCTGACAAAGAAAATGCGAAACAAGGGAGGATTCAAGCAACAAATAGAGAGAAAAAAATCACAATGCCAGAAAAGGAGAACTAGCAATCTGCAGGTGCTAAAGTCAGGGTAGGAAACCAAATAATGCAAGCAATGGAATGACACCAGTGAAGACCCATTTACAATTTAAAAGTTAATTAATGTTGTAAATCTGTAAATGTTTAAATTTTGTTGCTCCATTTCAATGAGACTCATAAATGGATTTTTCCAAGATGCTCAAATTACAATTTCAAACTATTTTTCCTATGATAGGTGCAGTAATTTCATCACATAACCCAGTCACTTACAATTGGTTTCATTAATAGTGATTTAGTGTTCAATTTCATAGCACTTAACTTCACAAAAACCTTCACAACTAATTAAGCACTTTTATTTAATGTAGGAAAACACAACAGCCAATTTGTACACCAGACTACCCAAGACTACTATGAGAAATGATCAATAAACTGCTTTAATGATGCTGGTTGAGGATAAATGTTGGCCAGGGTTTCAGAGGAAATCCTCTGATTTTCATCAAAAAGGTGTTGTGGGATATTTTATATTCACCTGAGAGGTGAATACAGGAGGAGTCTACGTTTCACCTCATCTTAAAGCTGGCATCTCATTCAGGATTGCACAGATTATCAGATAAAGTCAATGACTAAACACACAAACTTCTGACTCAAAGTGGAGAATGCTATTATGGATCGAAGGCTGGCACTATTCTGTTTTCCCAAAATCACAAATTGGCTAAGGTACATGTTACAAAACAAATACCTCAAAGTAAAAATCTCAGAAAACGTTTTGAAATGTTATGCTGTAATGGGGATGCATTTGGGGCAGAGCAAAAAGAAAATTAGTTATTTCTTCAATGAATCAAGAACTTCTGATTCAGGAGGCAGACTCTAATCTCACTGCAAAGTCAACTGGCAGATGTGCATGGCAGGCATCTGTGCCTTCCATCAGATCTAACCAGAGACAAGTTCCCATGCATCAAGAAGTAAACATGCCATAAAGCAATTTATGTGGGCATCACTGCGCCATATTCAAATTGCAAGCTACCCCCGATCAATTTAATGTCATTCAAACATGGGGTGCAGGAAGTGGTTGCCCTGTAACAGTGAATGTCTTTGTTCTTGGGATTTTTGGTTGATCACAAAAAGACCCAAAAAGCAGAAGTTCTGTTCTTCCAAAACTCTGACAGTACAATTGATCCACTGGATCAGTTACAGTCCTAAAGGCTATATATAGCTACAAGAGATGATTACCTTGTTGGTAATATTATGTTGATAAGGTGTTTTAATGAAATTCAAAACACTAGGAATAAATGTTTTGAGTTGGGGTTTAGTTTATTTGACTTCACTTTTATAATTTCCAGCGTTATAATTTTACACATTCATATACAGTAAAGAATAGAAAAAACTGCTTTAAAGGAAAATTCAGTATGAAACAAATCAAGCATAAGGTACGTTACACAAGGTTATTCTTTTACATTATTTTAAAATTGAGTATAACTACAAAAATATTAAAACAAATAATACCAAATACATGTGATTACTTGAACTGGTTACAAATATACCTATAGTAATGCATACAGAAAAGAAAATAAATTGAGCTGTCTACGATATATCTACTGACTACTTCATAGAAATACTAAACATTATTAGAATAGTCTAACATTCTATGCAGTATTCAGTCACAATTTATTTCAATTTATGATAGTTTATATGGGTAATACTTCAATCCTCATCTCAAAAGAAAACTGGTGTATTCAATAACTAATTATGCTGTATGTCTTAACTGTGGCTTAATTTCATATTTCGCTGTTTTGCAGTTATCATATTCTAAGTTTACACAAAATGGATGATGATTGCCAGGATTTAATAAATTACTTCCAGTTCGGCTAGTGAGTATACTTCTTGGGCAAAGAGTAATAAGTTGTGTTTCTGAGTCCAAGAAGTGGATGAGAAATGAAATATCATGAAATGTCACTGGTTTAATACTTGAACCAGCACATCCATAGAATTCCAGGGCTCAGGTGTTAATTCACAAGCAAGGCTATTTCACTGATTGGACAAGTGGGGTTGATTTGTGATTCTCATTTAGTTCCAAATAAGCCCACAAACCACAATAATATTCATAAAACAGGATAGTCCCAGCAGGACAGGCTATCCTAAGCAGTGGCTTCTTCATACTTATAAGTATTTATGTTGGCTAGCTGGGGAGGTGGGAAGTAGGATCACTAATCTGTTGCTCTTGCCAATTGTACTAAAGTTCAGTTAGTTTGTGATGTAAACTGATGCCAACAGAGTAGGTTCAATTCCCACAGTGGCTGTGGTTACCATGAAGAATTTTCCTTCTTAATCTCTCCCCTTGCCTGAGGTGTGATGACCTGTAGCTAAAACCACCACCAGTCATCTTTCTAACGAGAGAGTAGTCCTGAGGTCAGGTAAGACTATGGTGACTTTTGCTAAAATTCTCTGGATTTAGATAAGCAAGGTGTACTCCTATAGATTTCATGTCATGGAAATAGAAACTTTACAAATCCATGTTTCTCAAGGGTTCAGTTTGAAGGATATTTAAGCATTTTGATCCAAGAAGTCACAGTTCATGACATCCAGTTGGCCAAAAGAAAGGACACTTTCACTTTCATGAGCACTGAGTCAAAAATACTCAATAGGCTAATGATTTACTTCCAATAACAGTGATCCAAATAATGAAATGCCATATTAATTGGCACTAGATATGGACTACTTAATCTGCTTTTACATAGCACGCTCTTTGTAAATGAAATGTTATATTTCCACAATGTTTAAAGTATGCAGTAATACTCCTGGGAGATGAATTTATATAATTCAATATGTTTAACTTTTTTTAAAAAAATCATTTTAACTTTTGTAACAGCTTCAGTTATTTCTTTTTCATCTAAAATCGATTTAAAATTATTGTAAAGGAATTGTTTCAGATTTATTCCATATTAGTTTTTGATTTCATTTTCAAATATTAGCATCGCTGAAGCATCAAAGTTAATCTGACCAATCATTCTCATCAAGCTCTGAATCATCGTCTGAATCACTATATTCCACAGCAATACGTCGCGACAGAATAGTTGCTACATCATTCCCAACTGGCTCTCGCTTAGCTTCTTGCTCACGTTGCTCTTGAACCTTTTTCAATTGAATACCTAGAGTAAGAAAGTTGATATCAGTAAAATTCCAAGATTACTTTAAAAAACAGTGATGGCATGCTGAATCACAGGCAACCGATTCTATGTTTAGCAACAGGCCAAAGTAGGTCAAAGCTAACCTGCTTGATTCTTCAAAATAACTGAATTTAGCAAGTCAAACATCACACTCCAGACAGAATACATTTTTTCAATTATTGAAACATTTGGAAAGGCTGGACCATCTGGTGATTTCTATAAATTACATTCAATAATCATGAATTTTACAGCAGGAAACTAAAATATCTTAGCGAGGCACTCTGTCTACCTAGACTTATAACCATTAATAACAATTCAGGTTTGAAGATGAAAAATTATAATAAGAAACAGAGTTTTTAAAATGTACATTCAAGCAAAGCTTTTTGTCTGACACTTACTGGGGCAATTCACAAGAAATCATAATCTGAAAGGGAAAGGGATGGGGAGGACCAACAAGACAAGGGATTACACATGACCGTAGCAAGTACTAAAGATTAGACAGAGATAGTAAGAACTGCTGATGCTGGCGTCAGAGATAACACAGTGTGGAGCTGGAGGAACACAGCAGGCCAGGCAGCAGTAGAGGAGCAGGAAAGTTGCTATTTTGGGTCACGACCCTTCTTCAGAAATGGGGGAGGGGGAAGGGAGCTCAGAAATAAATAGAGGAGGGGTGGGGCTGGGGAGGGTAGTTGGGATGGTGATACATGAGTGCAGGTAGGCAGTGGTGGGGATTGGTCAGTGAGGTGGGAGGAGCAGATAGGTGGAAGAGAAGATGGACAGGTTGTGTCAGGTCAAGGAAGCGGGGATGAGAGGGAGGGTTTGTCGTGGGATGAGGCTGGAGGTGTGGAATTTACCAGCTTCAAAATCTCCCCATTTAGGCCATTGGGCTGTAGGCTCCCAAGTTGGAATATGAAGTGCTGCTCCTCCAGTTACCAGGTGGCGTCATTGTGACACAGGAGGCGGCCCAGGATGAAGATATCATCCAGGGAGTGGGAGGGAGAGTTGAAATGGTTCGTGACCAGAAGGTATTGTCGTTTGTTGCAAACAGAGCGCAGGTGCTCTACAAAGCAGTCTCCAAGCCTCCGCTTGGTCTTACTGATGTAGAGGAGGCCACATCGGGAGCAGCCGATGCAATAGACCACATTGACAGATGTGCTGGCGAACCTCAGTCTGATGTGAAAGGTTTGTTTGGTGCCTTGAATGGAGGTGAGGGGGGGAGGTGTAGGGACAGGTGTAGCACTTCTTGCGGTTGCAGGGAAAGGTGCCAGGGGTGGTGGGGCTAGTGGGGAGTGTGGAGCGGACAACGGAGTCGCAGAGAGGTCCCTACAAAAGGTAGATAGGGGTGGGGAGGGAAATATATCTTTGGTTGTGGGTTCGGATTGTAGGTGGCAGAAGTGGCCTTGATGTGCATGTGCACAGATCCCTGAAGATCGCGAGGCAGATTGATAATGTGATTAAGTAGGTATATAGGATACTTGCCATTATTAGCTGAGGCATTGAACACAAAAGCAAGGAGGTTATGCTGGAACAGTATAAAACATTACTTAGGCCACAGCTAGAGTACAGCATGCAGGTCTGATCACCACATTAAAGGAAGGATACGATTGTTTTAGAGAGAGTACAGAGCAGATTTACTAGGATGCTGCCTGGACTAGAGGATATGAGCTATGAGGAAAGATTGGAAAGCTGAGGTTGTTTTACTTGGAGCAGTCAAGGTTGAGAGGGAATCTGATTGAGGTGTATAAGATTATAAGAGTCCTATAAGGGTGAATAGGAAGACTTTTTTTCCATTAGTATAGTATATAATAATAAGGGAGAAGGAGAGATTTGCTGTAAAAGGGCAGCTGAAGACAATTATTTTTCACTTAGAGAATGATGGGAGTCTCAAACTCTCTGCCTGAAAAAGTGTTGGGTCAAAAAATCTTACAACGTTTAATCAGTATTTAGACATTCACTTGTGGTGCCACAATTTCAACGAATATGGGCTTGTCAGCTGGGAAATGGTATTAGTTAGTTAAATCTACTTGACCAGCATGGACACGACAGGGTGAATGGTCTCTTTCTGCACTATAAACACCTACAAGTCTATGAAAAGAACATTTGTACTGTATGAGAGATGGGTGCTGATTGAACTCTGAATGGTTGAATGTCTAAGAAAATTACATAGATTATCCATTCTGTTAAGTGGCACATTATCAGTCTTTGCAAGGTTCTTTCCACATGGTGGTTGTCAGTTGTGCCTTTCTAACAGTAAGAAAAGAATAATTATAAATCATATGGCTTCATCCAGTTAAAAATATCTTATGTTGCTGTTTTAGAGTTGCCAAGCTCTTCTGCTATATATTTACTACTCTCTCACTTCAGTGATCAAATATGTTAAAAAATAGAAACATAGAATGCTTCCAACACACGAAAATATTCAGCCCATCATGCCTGTACCAGCTTCCTGCGAGAGCAAAAAAGAAAAAATTCTGCACGTTGATTACTTACCCATACGAATAGCAGCAAGAAGGTCACTTCTGGCATCATTGAGAGGTGTGCCTGCTGATTCATACCTTTTGTTTTCAACAACAAGCTGACAGTGCATTGGTGAAGAAGCAAGGGAAGAAGGTGGTGCTGGTGGAGCTGGAGGTGGAGGAGGTGGTGGTGGTCCAGGGGGACCGGATGGAGGAACTGCTCCAGATAGGGTTGGGGAAGACGTATATGCAACCCCCATCATTGATGCAGGATGGGAAGCTGAAGGAGTAGGCACTTGGACAGGACTGACAAAGGCAGTTTGTGCTGAAGGAATTAATGGACCAGGAGGAGGCAGAGGAGGACCGGCAGAAGTATAGTATTCCATCATCTGAGAAGGTGGCATGCTGTAATGAGTAACAAGGTTATTTAGTTTAAACAGTTTTCAACATATGTACTTCAATATGTTCTTTTCAGAATACATTGGTTATTTCCATATCCTTAAAAAATTATATGAACTAAAATGTGACTCGTAATTTTTGTACTGAATATTTCATTACAGTACTAACAGGGTGGCATGGTGGCTCAGTGATTAGCATTGCTGCCTCACAGCACCAGGGTCCTGGGTTCAATCCCAGCGTCAGTTGACTGTCTGCATGGAGATTGCACATTTTCCCCACATCTATGTGGGTTTCATCTGGGTGGTCTGGTTTCCTCCCACAGTCCAAAAATGTGCAGGACAGGTGGATTGGCATGTTAAGTTGCTCATAGTGTCCAGAGATGAGCAGGCGAGATTAGCTATAGGAAATGCAGAGTTACAGGAATAGTGTTAGTGGGGTGGATCTGGGTGGGATGCTCTTTGGAGGATTGGTGTGCACTCAATGGGCCGAACGGCCTGCTTCCACACTGCAGGGATTCTATGATTCTATTAACTATAGGGGAGGTAATGGCCTAGTGCCATTATTGCTGGACTATTAATCCAGGAACTTAAGTAATGTTTTGGGTACCAGGATTCAAATCCTGCCATGGCAGATGATGGAATTTGAATTCAATGAAGCACCTGGAATTAAGAATTCAATGATTACCATGAAACCATTGTTGATTGTTGGAAAACCCATCTTATCCACTAATATCCTTTAGGGAATAAAATCTACCAGCTTTACCTGGTCTGGCCTACAGCAATGTGGACTTTGCTCTCTGAAATGGTTCAGCAAGCCACTCAGTTGGAACAATCACTACAAAGTCTTAAAATATAAATGAAACTGGAAAGACCACCTAGTGTTGACCTAGGCACTGGGAACAACAATGACAAAAAAGCAGCCTTGTTGATGCAGCACAGTTATCCTTACTAACATTTGGGAGCTAGTGACAAAATTGGGAGAGCTGACTCACAAACTAGTCAAACAACAGTCCGACATATTCACACTCACAGAATCATACCGTCCATGAGTATGTCCTGTCTCACCAGCAGGATGGGTTCAACAGAGGTGGCAGTACTGTGGTAATGGAGTCAGGAGGGACTTGTCCTGGGAGTCTTCGACATTGACTCTGGATACCAAGATGTCTCATGGCATCAGGTCAAACAAAGGCAAGAAAACCTCCTTCTGATTATCATGTACTGTCCTCTCTTGGCTGATGACTCTGTGCTCTTTCATGCTGAACAACATTTGGAGGAAACACTTAAGGTGACACAAAATGTACTTTGGCTGGGGCATTTTGATGCACACCACCAAGAGTAACTCAGCAGCAGTACCACTGGTCGAACTGCTTGGCTCCTAAAGGACACAGCTGCTAAACTAGGTCTGCAGCAGTTGGTAAGGGAACCAACAAGAGGGAAAAACATACTTAACTTCATTCTCACCAAATTGCCTGCTGCAGATGCATCTGTCCATGACAGTATCGGTAAGAGTGACCACTGCACAGTCGTTGTGGTGACGAAGTCCCAACTTCACATTGAGAATATTTTCCATCGTGTTGTGTGGCACTATCACTGTGTTGAATTGGACAAACTTCAAACAGACTTAGGAACCGAAGAATGGGCACCCATGTGGGGCTGTGGGCCAAAATAGCAGCTGGATTGTACTAGAATACAATCTATAACCTCAAGACTCAGCATATCTGCCATGGGATCAAGTCAGGGGATCAACTCTGATTAAATGAAGAGGGCAGGAGGACATGCCAGGAGCAGCAATAGGCATACCTAAAAATGAGGCATCAACCTAGTGAAGCCGCCAAACAGTATATTAAGCAAGTGACAGAGACAGCTATGCAACGCCACAACCAACACATCAGAACTAAGATCTTCAGTCTATCATATCCAAATGTGAATGGTGGTGGACAATTAAACAACTCACTGGAGGAGGAGACTCCACAAATATCTCCATCCTCGATGATGGAAGAGCCCATCATACCAGTGCAGAAGATACAGCTTAAGCATTCAGCCAGGAGAGCCCAGTGGATGATCTGTTTTGGCATCCCTGAGAGGTCCCACAGATGCCAGTCTTCAGCCAATTTGATCACTCGGCATGATATTAAGAAATGGACGGAGGCACGGGATGCTGCAAAGCCTATGGACCCTGAAACATTAAAGCAATAATACCAAAGACCAGAATTTGCCAATCCCTAGCATAGCTCTTCCAGTACTGCTACTACACTGGCATCTAGCTAACAATGTGGAAAATTGTTCAAGAATGTCCTGTACACAAAAAGCAGGACAAATCCAACCTGGCCAATTACTGCCCCATCAGTCCATTCTCGATCATCAGAAAAAGTGATGGAAGTGTCATCAACAGCGCTTTAAAGCAGCACCTGCTCAGCAATAACCTGCTCACTCACACTCACTTTGGTTCCATCAGGTCTACTTAGCTCTTGACCCCAGTACTGCCTTGGTTCAAACATGAACGGAAGAACTGAATTTCACATATGAGGCGAGACTGACAGCTCTTGACAGCAAGGCTGCATTTGACCAAGAACCCTAGCAAAACTGGAGTCAATGACAAACAGGGGAAAGCTCTCTGACGGTTGGAGTCATACTTGGCACATAGGAAGATGGTTATAGCTGTCAGAGATCAGTCAAGCAGAAGTTCCCCACGGTAATGTCCCATGCCCAACCATATTCAGTGCTTCATCAATGACTTTCCTTCCATTATTAGATCAGAAGTAGGGATGTTCACTGACAACTGCATAATGGTGGCCACCACGCAATACTTCTTAGATATTGAAGCAGTTCATTTTCAAATGCAACAAGACCTGGAAAATATCCAGGCTTGGGCTGAAAAGTAGCAAGTAACATTCGCAGCATACAAATACCAGAGCAATGACCATCTCCAACAACAGACAGACAATCTAATCATCATCCATTGACATTCAATGGGATTGCCATCACTTAAACCCCTACTATCAACACCTTGGGAGTTACCATTGACCAGAAACTGAACTGGGCTCACCCTATAAATACACTGGCTACAAGAGCAAATCAGAGGCTAAGAATATTGCAACAAGTAACACACTTCCTGACACCCCAAAGCCTGTCCACCAGAAAGAAGCCACAGTCAGGATCGTGATGGGATACTTCCCCCTTGCCTGAATGAGTGCAGCTCAAACAACACTCAAGAAGCTTGACATCATTCAAGACAAACCAGCCACTTGCTTGGCACTACATCCACAAGCATTCAGTTACTCCACGACCAACACTCAGTTGCAGCTTCAATAACATGCAGCACAGAAATTCACCGAAGATCCTTACACAACACTTTCCAAACTCACAACTACTACCATCTAGAAGGACAAGGGCAGCAGTTACATGGGAACACCGCCACCTGCAAGATCTCCTCCAAGCCACTCATCATCCTGACTTGGAAATATATCACCATTCCTTTACAGTCACAGGGTTAAAATCCTGTAATTCCCTCCTTAAGAGTATCGTGGGTCTACCTACAGCTCATGCACTGCAGCGGTTCAAGAAGACAGCTCACCACCACCTTCCAAAGGGCAACTGGGGACGGGCAATAAATACTGCCAAGCCAGCAATATGCGCATCCCATGAATGAATAAAAAAAATCTATTGATCTATTTCAGGTTATGCACAAGTAAAGAAAATATACAAATCAGGAAAACTAACTGAAAGCAAAGAGAT